TTTGTGTACATGAATTTTACATATAATGAAATGAGTTCAAGCAAGCCATTTGATGAGTCTGACAAATGCACACACGTAATGAGGTGATTGATTTGTTTGTATATTTATCAATGAACTCTTATCCTAACTGAGTTGGGAAAGAAATAAAGCACCATCATTCAAGCATGAAAACATGTGATCTGATCCCTAGCACCCATCTAAAATCTGGGGCACAGCTATACACATCTATAATCCTAGTACTGGGGTTGAGTAGGAACAGGCAGATGCCCAGAGCTTACTGGCTAGCCAACCTAGCCTAATTGATGAACTCCCAGTTCATTGAGAAACCCTGCCTCAAAAACTAAGATGAGAATGATTAGAGACACCTAACATTGACCTCCAGCTTCCACAGGCAGGCAGGCGGGGACAGAATGATTAGAGACACCTAACATTGACCTCCAGCTTCCACAGGCAGGCAGGCGGGGACACACACACACACACACACACACACACACACACACACACACACATCAATGAACTTAATTGTTCTGGAGCAGTCTTAGGTTCATAGTAAAAGTGAGCAAAAAATATAGAAGTCTGTATATTTCTGATACCACACACATGGAGAACTTCTATTATCAAAACCAACACTGTTCATTATATGTGTATTATTGACAATTATTTTGACCAAAAGTTCATACTTACAAACTGATTCTAAAGTTTAATGTCATGCCTCATGCCTGTAGCCCTATCACTTAGATGTTAAAATAGGAGGACTGCCAAGAGTTCAAAGCCAGCCTTGGGCTACAAGGACGGCCAGACCTAGAGTGAAACCCTGTTTTTAAAAAGTGGTAAGCCAGGGGACAGTAGGAGAGCTCATCAATCTTCCAGAGGACCTGAATTCAGTTTCCAGCCAGCTACTTCAGATGCCCCACAACTTCCTGTACTACAGCCCCAGAGGATCTGATGCCTCTGGCCTATGCAGGCACCTGCATTCAGTACGCAAACCCACATGCAGATACACATTACATTATTAAAAATAATAAAAATGAATCTTTGAAAAGTTTATGCAGAGAGGCAAAAATCTTAGAAGAGCCAGTTCAGTACTGAAAGAGTAGAATAGGGCTGGAAGGCTAACCTCACCTGACTCAAGACTATATACAAAGTTTACATTAAGGTCCATTCATGATGTTCTACATCCCATGGGTTTGGAGAAGTATATATACATATATTATACAGATTAGCATCACTGTCTCTGTACTTTTCCTCACTCATGGAAATCACATTACCCCCAGTTTTGCCTTCTCTAGAATGCCCTATAGTTGGGCCCATAAAATATCTTTCACACTGGCTTGTTTCACTTTGTATATACATATATGCATTTTCAGGACTGGATAGTTTACTTCTTTATAGAACTGAATCATATTCCATTGTCAAGATGTACCACAAATTATTGATCAATTGTGCAGTGGCTACTCTGGTTGCTTCCAAGTTTTCCCTATCAGCAGATGGTACAAGTATATTTAGTTTTTCTTGACTGTTGTTTCTCTCTGTCCCTCCCTCCCTCCCTCCTCCTCCTCCTCCTCCTCCTTCTTTTCTCTCTCTCTCTCTCTCTCTCTCTCTCTCTCTCTCTCTCTCTCTCTCTCTCTCTCTCTCCCCCTCTCCAAAAATGAACCATATGCATGCAGTGCCCATGGTGGTCATAAGAGGGAGTCAAATCCCCTAGAACTGGAATGACAGACAGTTGTAAGCTGCCACATGGGTGCTGAGAAGAATCTGGGTCCTCTGGAAGAGCAGTCAGTGGTATTGACCACTGAGCTATCTTTCCAATTTCCTCTAACATGATTTTTAAAAAAACGTGCATTTTCTTTAAATTACCTGAATTTTCAGTAGGTCTTATTGGTCACTGTTATCCAGAACCAGGCTCCGTTTATTTATTTATTATTTGTTTGTTTTTACATGTACACATGTGATATACGGCATGTGTGTGTGTGTTTACATGCACTTGCACATGCATGTTCACGTATGCATCTACCAGGAAGCCCAAAGCTGATATTCAATGTCTTCCTTGATCATGTTCCACTTTATTTTTTGGGGCAGGGTTCCTCACCAAAGCTGGAGCTTGCCAATTCTAGCTAGTCTAGCTAGTCTGTTGGTTCCACGGACCCTTGTCTCTGGTTCTGTGTGGGTTCTAGTCCTCATGCTTGCACAGAAGTACTTCACCCACTGAGCCCTCTCCAGTACATCATTTGCTATTAATGACTTGACTCTTAAAGGACACTTATAAGTTGATGTTACATTATATTCATATAACTCGAGTCATGATTCAAAAAGCATTTAATGAGTACTTATCGGGAAGAACAAAGGTTGCCAGATACTTGAGGTTAAGAGGAGTGTTTTAAAATGTGATTGTTCTCTGTAATCAGGAAACACAGGTGAGGAAGGAGGAATGGAAAGGAAGGAGAAGTGGGGTAATGTGGCATGAATCCTAATTGGTCTTAATAATAAAAAACCCGGAGTCAGATATTGGGGTAAATGCTGAACGATCAGAGAGACAAAAGAGCAACCCACAGGCACCTCTTACCTCCTCACCTCCTGAGGCTGAAAGGGCCGAGCTCCTGTCTCCTCCCGCCTTAGTCCTCTTTCTGCCCAGCCATATCACTTCCCGCCTCCACCTCCCTAGTGCTGGGATTAAAGGTGTGCGCCACCACTACCTGGCCTCTAGTGGCTAACTAGTGGCTGGCTTTGCCCTCTGATCTTCAGGCAAAGTTTGTTAGAACATATAGAAAATATCACCACAGGGTAAGGAGTGAAATTAGCTATAAATAACTATGAAATAAAGTAACCTGTGGCAATGCTATAAGGTAAGCAATGCACTATCATTGTAGCTGAAAGAATGGGTTCCTGGAAGCCTTGCTGAAAGGCAGAACCTGTATGGGTAGGAATAAACTTGGAGAGACTTTGACAAGGAGGAATTTGGAAGAAAAGGAGAGAAACAGGTCTTAACAGTCCTCCCACATATCTGGAAATTAGTTGGAAATTAGGCAATCAAGTATCTTAAGCTAATTATAATTAGCCTTTTTCATAGCTTATTCTGCCTTTGGTAAGAAATACATGAAACATTTGTTTAAGTAACATTTGGTAAGAAATACATGAAAAAATGACACGACATAACATGGGACTTAGAAATACATACTATGTTTAACACAAGCATCATTCACTCTGTCAAAAAAGCATGGGCAAATATTACTTCCAGTCAAACTAACTGAGATGGGAGCTTTACCTGTGTCTACTGTAAGAAGTATCTGAAGCATATGTGCCATGGTGATCAAATGGAAGAGATAAAGGTGATGATAGGAAGAACTAACTGACGAAGGCTGCAGGTCAACGGTGTCATCCCAATACAAGGACGGGAATGCTAACACAGCAGCTACCTGCGAAAGGAAAAAGGACATCGACAGGACACCAATGAAAGGCCAAGACAAGCTGACCTAACTGAATGTACAGGGTACCAAATGATGCAGGGCTTTTTTAATAACCATCAGACTTCTCCTAGTTATATTCAACAGAATATCTAAGACTATAATTACAATGTACCATTAGTGGCAGGCAAACACCAGCACCAAACTGGTTATCCTTTGCTGAGTCTACTTACTGTAGGCCTAGATAGTTGTTCTCTCCTTGTGGTTCTGAAGATTCCTTGTTACAAACACTTGGATGCTCTTAAAAAACACTGACATACAGGCTTCATCCCAATCCAACAAAATCAGACTCTGAGGCAAGGTCCAATTGTTAGGATTCCTTTTTTTTTTTTTTTTTTTTTTTGGTTTTTTGAGTCAGAGTTTCTCTGTGTAGCTTTGAGGCCTGTCCTGGATCTCCCTCTGTAGACCAAGCTGGCCTTGAACTCACAGAGATCCGCCTGGCTCAGCCTCCCAAGTGCTGGGATTAAAGGTGTGTGCCACCACCGCCGGCTGATAGGATTCTTTTTAAGACTCCCCAGGGGATCCCAAAAGAGAGTCTGGGGGACAGCTACTGAATACAGGCTTAGATTATGAAGTATGAATGGGGGATGGGGATTGGTTAACCCAATACCCACACAATCCAGTTTTTCAACCTTACCACTATTTTCTTGACTGGGCCAGATTTAAGAGTAAGATTATTGCAAGGATAGGAAAATTCTGCATAAAACTCACAAGAGTTGCTACCTGTCCACTGGTGTTTTAAGGAAGCCCACATGCACTTAGAATCAGTCTTTATCACTAAATAGCTAATGATTATATTTAATTTATAGCTTACATGATAGTACATTGCATATGATATAAACAAGCTGGAAAAAAGGAGTGGCAATGAGCCATAACAGAATTAGAAAGAGTTTATTTGTACATAATATTAACAAATATAACCAACTATAAAACCAATTACAAATTAAAAAAGAAATGTGCTTTCATTAAAAAAAATAATTTTGATGTCTTGGTGAAATCAGTAAGTATTTCTTAAAAAAAAGGATACGACTAAAAACAGCTTGAACATCAAAATTTTATTATTGTGAACAGAAAGCATGAATTTAAATAAGAAAAAACATGAAATCATAAACTTGATGACTTCAAAATCATTTTACTGAATACTTACCAAGACATGAAATAGATCTACAGATAGAAGGCATGGTGTATCTTCTGATTGCAGGTTAGGAAGAACAACTAAAATGAAAGTTAATATAATTCAGTCAGTAAGGCAGCAATGTACTTGAATAAAATGCACATTAGAAGCATTAAATGAAAATACAACGGGGTTAAAGAACAAAGAAACTAGTATAGCACACTTTTAAGATATGGCTGTCATAATAAAAAGGAAACCGAACAGAATAAAAGACTATCAGAAAGTCTTGTATATAGCTTAAGAGTTGAAAGATATGATTTAGGAGGAAGCAGGGTGGTGGCAGCACACACCTTTAATAAACAAACAAATTAATTAATAAATAAAATAAGATTTAGAAGGAAAACTTGAAATAGCTCAAGAAATATTTGTTGGAAACAACAGTGCATGCTTACCACATGTAAGGCCCAGACTCACTCCCTAACAGCCCTAGCCTGCTGTGGGAATGTCTTTCTGTACACTGTGAATATATGTTGTTCCGACTGGTGAATAAATAAGCTGCTTTGACCTATAGTAAGGCAGCTTAGAGGCTGGCAGGAAATCCAAGCAGAGATACAGGAAAGAAACAGGCGGGAAGGGGAAACGCCAGGCCACTGCTCAAGGAGCAACAAGATGCCAGCAGACTGGTAACGCCACGGCCATGTGGCAACACAGATGAATAGAAATGGGTTAATTTAAGATGAAAGAGCTATCTAGCAAGAAGCCTGAGCCACAGGCCATACAGTTTGTATTTAATATAAGCCTCTGTGTTTACTTGGGACCAAGTGGCTTCAGGACCAGGTGGGACACAGGAAAACTTCTGTCTACACTAGCCTCCCAATTCTGAAATGTTAAATGACTAAGACTTGGCTTGTGTGCCTGTGATTGAAGCCAGTGCCTTGTCCATGCTATGCCAGAGCTGTGCTCCTGACCTACCTCAGAAGAACAGTTTTTTATTTATTT